ACACACAGACACACACACAGACACACGCAGACACACACAGACGGACACAGACAGCACGCTAAGCACTACACTACCGTTCCCCCTACACAACACACGCGTGCGCGTCCATAGGTACACATACACGCGCTTGCTGCAGACACACACGACTGTCAGGGTGCGTACGGCAGTAAATTACTGAAATAATAAAGCGGCAATGCTGCGCGAGGAACGCCTTAGACCTGCAACACATTTGTGTAATGCGAGCGTAAACACACAAACACATACAAACACATACACACACATACATACACACACATACACACAAACACATACACACACATACACACACACAGACATACACATACACACAAACACACACATACATACACAAACACATACACAATACACACACACATACATGCAGACACACAGAGACACACATAACACACATACATACACACACATACATACACAGAAACACATACACACACATATATACACACACATACATACACACAAACAGATACACATACGTACATAGACACATGCATACAGACACGCAGACATACACATAAACACATACCAAAAAACCCACATACATACACAGACATACATACACACAAACACATACACACACATACATACACACATACATACAGACACACAGACATACACATAAACACATAGACATGACCCGGCTTTGCCTGGGACTTGGATCCACCACGCCCGGCCGCCTTTGTCTCCCCAGTGGCGATGTTAATACGCCACACCAGTTACTCGTTTTGAGGCTGAGTCCCTCCCTCGCCACTCTCCCTCCCTCGCCACTCTCCCTCCCTCACCACTCTGTAGAGGACGTGAAACTTTTATGAATTTACCTCAGAGTCGCGTGGTGGGTGTCGAGGCCTAGCACCGTGCAGAGCCTCCCGCCTCGCCTGATTTTGGCACCCGGCTGACTCTGGGTACGGGTGCCGTTCCCCCCCCCCCCCCCGCGCTACAATAACACTGTGTAATCGCTATCATTTAATAATCGACCGACCCTATAATAGTAATAGCACACATTGTGGTGGGGGGGGGGGAGTGAAGAGGACGTGAAACTTAGATGAATTTACCTCAGAGTCGCGTGTTAATGCGTGCGCCTATTTTTAACGGGAATATAAAATGGCGTCCACCCCGCGGCCCGTCGCTAGCCGTTGCCAGGGGCAACCGCCGTCCAATGAAAGCGGCGAAGGCGTCGCTAGCCGTTGCCAGGGGCAACCGGCGTCCAATGAAAGTGCGTATGGTCCGGCGACACACACACAGACAGACAGACAGATTCGCGATTTTATATATATAGATTCGGGGCCCCCTTGTGGCCGACTGGGCTTCCACGCGTCGCAAAACGCTGCCACCTGCCCCACAGTTTGCGCCCCTGGCCACTTCCATAGCAGCAGCCCACGATCTCGTCCAGCGAGTGCCGATTTACAAATAGTTATTTTCAGCTCCTATTGCGGAGGCGCGCACCGAGAAATGTTTACCGGAGTTTTTTTCGATGGCGTGGGGTTTCCTTTAGGTCTTGTCGGAGCGGCAGAGCGGTGTTGTCCGTGCTATTGGAGTGCTCCCCGGGTCGTCACGTCATCGCGTCGAATGTTGGCCGTGGGCAGTGCCGGATTAAGCTAGTGCGGAGCCTGGAGCATATGTTATAAAGGGGGTCTAAATAAAAAAAAAACACAAATATTAAAACACAAATTGTTTACTTGCACAGTAAAGTTATAATATTTTTCATTTGTTATACAGCCAGATAATAAGACAAATCTCTAACCTTAAACACCCAGTCGTTCATAAAAGTTGAAGGCAGTAATAGTACTATAGTAATAGAGCAAGTGCAGAATCACTGAAGCGGAATTTGTAGCTTGAAAGCATTTAGCGCGGGGCCATTGAAAGTGCGGAGCCCGTAGTATATGTAGCTGCTTGTGCTATGGCTGTGAGGTCGATGTTCGCCAGCACAGGAAGCCACCACGGGGAGTAGATTGCATCTGAGGTGTGCTGCCGATGATGTTAAGTGCGGTATTGATTTTGCTCTCGACGAGGATTCGCGTGAGAGCTGGTAACGACCCACTGGAGCGCACTACGACTCCACGGTCGTCGTTTCCTCACGCTGGTTCCTGCGTTTACTCATCTATTGTATTTACATTTGTGTAGCCACTGGGCGGCACTCTAGTGGAGTGACATTGCCGGATGTTACTGCACGACACTGTGTGAAGCGGGTGGCGCAATGTCGACGCCGCAGACGTCCGTGCGAGTGGCTGTACGAGCGGCACTGCGCTCTGTGTGTAGTGCCAGCCCCGGGACGATAGGGGGCGGAAGAGTGCCATAGAAGGTCCGGGGTTGAGAGGGGCCATGGCACTCCGGTTGAACCCGGAGGTCGAGTGACCGGAGGTACAGACCCGGGGACCCCCAAAAAGGGGGCTTGGGGGACCACGTGTCCAGGGACAGGTCCTTCTCGAGTATTCGTGTCCCGGGGTGGGGTGAGCCCGGGACTGGGGATATAAGCCGGGGTCCTGAGCGGCACCGGCTGCTGTTGTCCGAATGAAGATCTCCACGTCGTCGCCTGGGAGAGGAGCTCCAACGACGGGACCCAGATCCGAGCTGGGGTCCGGTCCGCTATAGCCACCCCGTGTGTTCAGAGTAGCTGGCCCAGAGGATAAACCTCCCTAGGTTATCTGGTGGAGGGGCAGCTACCCCTCGTGTTAAGGATGTTATTGAATTAACGTTTTGCCTCCAAGAAGGAGTCTCGGTCTCCATCTGTACCCACTACACTAGCATGCACTTTAATGTTTGCTGGGCTCTCCTTTGCCTCCCTGAGCGGTATAATACTTGTCAGTTACCACATATTTTAGCAACACCAGCTCAAACATGTGCCATGGTGTCGCAATGGTAAGCGCACAGGACGTCCAATGCAGCGTTTACCGATTCAATCCTATCCCGCAGCGAACCAGTTGCAATAATTGGGCATCTTAAATTCCTCCACCTAACCCCAACAGTATATATAAGTACACCACAGTCGATTGTCAGGGCACATTTGGTGGTGGGGGGGGAATACATTTTGGGTAATCCCGCCTCTTCCAAGACTTCTGTCTGGCTAGCGTGGAAATGCAGATCAGAAACACTAAACTGTTAACGGGCTCTCTTGAGCGACCTCAGGTGGATGCCCTTCCATCAATAGTGAGCCTGTCATTGCAGGGCCGCTACGTTGAGTTATTACCCAGTGCTTCATTTCAGCCGCAACAGTCTGGAATGCCGCGATCTAAATATTTTTGGAAACCAGCCTTAGCCATCTCCTAGTGATACTAATTGTGTCGTCTCTGGATTATAAATAGGAATACGGCAACAATTGTAGTGACTGACTCGGAGACACTAAGAGTAGGAGGCACTCTGTTTATTAACACGGCCTGACAGTAACACTTAGTAAAGTACGGTTCCCAGTCAGGATGGCTGGTAGACTGCCTGACTGGCGACGCCGAGATGGTGAAGATGGAGACGACGGTAAAGACTCCAGCAGCAGCACGAAGGAGATCCCACTCCAGACGACAGCCCCGAGGTCCCCCACAGGGGCCCCTCTTGTACTGTCAGCGTGGCCTGGCTCCGCCCCCGGCTACGCCCCCCTTCTGGAACCTACTAGCGGGTTCTCGGTGTGCCCCTTCCGTGACCCTTCCCCTAGATCCCTCTCTGGTCTATCACGTGACCTGCCGTCAGGGCTGCTGTAAGCTGCCGATCCCCTTCCCCGCCAGCAGCCAGCACTATGCTGCTACGTGACCGATTCTATGTCACTACACAATTATTATGGATAGGCGTACCTTGTACTCGAGTGGTAGTAGTAGTGCCTTATGCAGATGATTCCTCCTCCAAGCTAACTTAAAAGCATTCCAAAAAATTATTAATCCCTGATGATAACATATTGTACTACCTGTATGATAATTTGTTGTAAATCTGGACACATTTCTTTCTGGATGTTAAATTGCATGTTTGGATAGAGATATTGCTTGAATGTAGGGCTTTTGGTGTTGAAGATAATACAGTCATATTGGTGGAATATGATGAAGCTCGGATTTAAGGATGGACTGCAAGACACCACACACTTCATGAGCTAACGTGTCTTTTGTTATTACATTTCATAGTGGTGTGTTCATTAAAACTCACTATTGTATTTGGGGAAATCTGCAATGTTTTTCTCTTAAAATATATTCAGGTGAGGTCAATTTTCAAAAAAATATAATGTAACTGTTCACTTTCCTAGAAACCAAACATCTCACCTCACTGCACAGTAAGTGGATTTTGGGCAATGTGTATGGACTTTGGAGCATTATTCCCTCAGATGAATTGGTTTTCTCCAGGTCCCAAAGTTTTCCTCACAAATGCAAAGTAATTCTTGAATATTGGACAAACGTGCAAATTGTACAAACATGCAGAACCATCCTGAAAATGAATCTTGAGACTGTTCCCTAGACACATTTAAAGGGAGAACCATTCACCCTCATAGATATCTGCAATGTTCTCTATGGCTTCTCAAAAATCCTAACCTCCGAACTCCAAATGATTTAAAATTCACTCCCAAATTTTTCTCCCATACGTGTAAACATCACCCTAGTACTCCCTCCACTGAATCCTAATCCAGTCCCAGCTCAACTTCAACATTTTACCATCTTGAACCCTGCCTACATCTCCCCTCTCTCATCTCGCTCTACACTTAGCAGCCAAGGCTTTCAATCAGCCTTAGTCAGTGGGAGATCGCTCATTCACATCTGCTGCCAATAGTCTGGAACTCTCTGCCCCCAGCCATTCATGCTGTAGCCTTGCTGCCCCCATTCCAGTCCAGGCTCCCCTTGAAGTCTCGATGTTTCGTAACAGCGTTTTGAGACGCGATTGCAATCAGATCATTATATATTCCACTTGAACTGCATCGATAAAAGTGATAATGTACGTTCACTGAAGTGCATTAGCTGGTGAGTGGTAACCATGGAGATATTGGAGCACAGAGTTTGTAGTCCTGTTACAGAGGGGTTTTAATGATGTCTTTTGATTATGCGACAATAAAACACTACTGTAATCCAACAGGTAATTCACACAGGACACACCTGGTCACATGCACACAACAGATATTCTCTTCACCTGAACGCTCGAGGCAAGCACTATTTGTGAGCGTCTATTAAGGCATGGCACAAGAAAATGCTGATTTGACAAGCACTATTCTCACCCGACCGTCTTTGTTACTCGTGTATAGATATATTTGAGTAGTGACCACACCACCCCCGCCGCAACAGGTACTCAGTTGACGAATGAGTCCACTGAGGATGTTCCAGGTAAGGTTCAAATATCACTTGGCGACCGGTGGTGCTGGCGATGACCATCAATCTCATGAACAGACATCAAACAAGGCTCTCTGCGACTGGATGACAAAGCGATCACTAACCTATGTGACACACACAAGACGCTCTAACTAGTCTGGATAAGTGTTTGCTCGCGAGCACTTATTAAGGCCAGCACATGTAGGACTGTAAGGTAAAGCTACCAAATGGCCGTAAAGATTTTGCAGGGGAATCACAATTTTAGAAAGTCTGTACCGGTGTTACAAAACCTTTGTTGAAAATGTGCATTTCGCCTGGCCCCCATGCACGACTCATCATATGGAAATCGGGCGGAGATACCTGAATAGTGGGCAGGGTTGGCCGAGGAGTGGGTGGGGCCATCTTCAGGAAGAGTGAGGACCTGTTGGCGAAGCGAGTGGTTGAGTAGGCGTGGCAATGTAAAAGTGGGCAGGGCTGACCAAGAGGAAGGGGCTTCCAGCCCCACAATGCATCCCGGTGCAGCCTCCAAGTGAGTTGGTTAGCTTTACTATAAGGCTATGGCATGATATCGACACACAAAACATGTTACTCTCTCACATGCTCACACAAAATAACCAGCATTCACCCCATCATGGTGTTGATATCACTGCTGTGGTTGTGCCAGGCTAGGTGGACTCCGAGGTCAATAAGGAATTGGCCAAATGTTCCAACGTAAGACTCCTCTGAAAAATAATCTTCAGACTCGTGAGACTCTCCTGGATTAATAGAGAATAGTATTATGGTAATACTTGAGGACAGTGGTTATAAGTCTGGTCCCATCTAACCCATGTGCTTCATTTTTCAACACCATCAAGCTGGAGATAACAGCGCCCTCCAAAAGTAACCCAGGACCCCCCACCCCCCACCAATACTTTAGGCACAGTACTGTGAGACCCCTCCCCTCGCCAGACCCTAGCCACAAGCACTTGCAGCCATGACCTGACACACATTAGACCTAATCCGACAAGTGTGGGGTTGATGTTGTGAACACCAGAAACTAAACAGCTAAAATCAAAACCTTAATTTGAAGCTTTCGTGACTACAGGAATTCATATTATTTGGGTCTTTCGGTAAAGTCACGTAGGTTAGAAAAAAATAATAGATCCTGACGTTTTGATTGCAACGCAAGCAATCCGCCTGATGACGATTGCTTGCAGTTGCGATCGAAACGTCGTGATCACGAAGATAGGTTGAAATAAAATAATAAAAAAATAACAAAAGACTACGGTAAAGTCACGTAGATAGGTTGAAAGAAAATAACAAAAAAAATAAAAAGTTTTTTGTTATTTCGTTTTTTTGTTATTTTCTTTCTTTCAACCTATCTTATTTTCTTTCAACCTATCTACGTGCCTTTACCGAAAGACCCAAAGAATATAAAATCAAAACATTTCACACATTGGGGCAGAATGGAACATGCTAACCATCCAAACGCTAGCCTGACCCCGAACCAATGAGCCAATCATCCACTTTTGAAATCCTAAAAATCGAGACAACCAGCTATTAGTGCCAACCTTAGCCCTAAATAACCAGCGAACCAGCCAATATAACTAGACCTTTCCCAAATTCTGTGTATCGCGTCATCCAGCTTCTATTATTTGCCATATTTCTAACCATAAATATTACTAATTAGCTAACGAGCCATGAACAATTACCCTTCCACTGATCCGAAGCCTAACCCACTATTCAACCGGCCGCTAGTACGAGCAGCCCCATCCATAAATCTATCCAATTTACCAACTAGCCACGAGTCCAGCCGTCGGCAACCTGCGGCTCCGGAGCCGCGTTTGGCTCTTTAAGGACTTGCTTCGTGACGTTCTTTATTCAGGACCGTCTCGTATTCACATGCATTGTGGCACTTTAAATATTGAGTTTTTTTACGAAATAAAAAAAAGGTCTCTTCTTGCTATTTTGGGTGCCGACTTCTGCATTAGTGTTAGATCTTCCTCTGAACATAACTCTAACCATAACCAAACCTTTAGTCAATTTCAATTGAACTGCGTCATTCGTAATGATTTTCAATTTACATTGCAATTTACATGGCGATTATAATCGATCCCAGCTTTGCCCCTGATCTCATCTTTTCAAAGGGTGCCCCTTTCCACTTTTTGTACACATTTCCATTGTTGGTGTCCACAGCGCTGTGTGGTTCTGTAAATAATTTGAGGACTGCACCAGCATCGGTGTACAAGTACAAATACAATAACAATGCACCTCCTTTGTGATTAAGTCTGCCGCCATCATAGAGTGAGCGATTTTGTGTTTGCTACTCTAAAACAGTAAAGCTTTAATTTATGGGAGGAAGAAAAAAAACTCCGATATTAAATAAACACTTCTGACATCCCAAAAAAACTCTCAAAATATACTGCGCATTGTGCATGCCAATCCCCTGTTGGATGAAAGCCTCTCCATGCCACGCCGGTTGCGAGGGTTATATGAGCATACTTCACCGCGCCATTCAGTGCAGGTTGAAGGTGTGGAGCACTGGATGTGGGAGTAAAGAAGCACGTCGTAACAACAGATGTTCCTGCGCTGCCTTTCGCAGCCCACAATAAAGTTCCGTAGCAGCTTATAACACCTGTCATGCATAGCAGTCGCCTATGAAGCAATACTCCAAACTAACTCTAAGCGCGCAAAGCTTCTGAGATGAAACGAGATCGGGCGCATCGAGCGGCTGATTCGGTTCATGGGCCAGCATGGGCAGTCGTGGGGAAGTTGTGGTAATAATTTACTAAATAGATAAGAGTCTGCCTCACACACAAATTAAACGAAATAAACATTTTGGTCCTTGGGCCAACGGGACCAGTGTTTTCCAGCAGCATGTATTTAGGCAGGTCAACTCTGCACCCGTGTCAACTCTCTGTGTATCATTACCGTGGGCGCTATGATGGTGAGTTGTTAACTACCTCACCTGGTATACAGGAGGTTGTGGGTTCGATCCCGACCCTGGCGCCTGCGTTATTGGAGTTTGCATGTTCTCCCCATGATCGCGTTGATTTTTCTCTGGGTCCTCCAGTTTTTCCCTCCACATTTAGAAAAATACCATGCATTTAGAGTATTTAGCCGCTATACATTTCCACATAAGCCACTTGGTCGAGCTATCATTTGTGGCCTGGTCACTTCTGAAAAATAGTTATAGAGCTCAGTGGGCCTTACCTGTTAAAATAAAAATAGTGTAGTTTAGTTTTAGCAGAGACAGGCCTGGATCCAACGAAATAGTTACTTTATTTTTTATATGGGGAGAAACTCTCGTCTCTTCACATTTCAACTCCCTTCAACGTTTGTAAGGTACCACAGTGGAGAAGCGCTTTTTCACCAATTATGACGTTAACATTTTCCACTCATTCTTCGAAAAAGGAATTGCCTGTAACGTTATCCCATTATGACTGGACACTGAAAGCGTTTTAAGATTCACATATTTCAGTGACAAACGAACCAATAAACGCTAGCCTATTGCAATAATGGTGGCATCCCTTTGTTAATCCACCGCTGGATGAAGGTCTCCTCACTCCCCGTGATAGGGGTTGTGTGAACATACTTCACCACGTTGGTCAATACCTGTTGGTAAAGGTGGGGGGGGGGGGGCAGCACTGGTTTCAGATATGACTTGCCACTGATTTTAGCCGTGGTGGGAATTAAGACGTGGTTCGCTGGGTGCATGGCTAATCGCACTGAATCACTGTGCTCCAAATACATGGAAATGTGCCCGAACTCATCAGATCTCAGAAGCTAAGCAGGTTTAAGCCTGGATAGTGCTTGGATGGGCAACCACCAAGCATAATTGCTTGTTGTAGGCTGCTCTTGGGCAATGTTTAAGGCTCCTAAATCAACAGACCACAATGACCAGTGCGGTGAAGTATGATCACATGTCCCCCAAGACCGAAAGGTGTGGGGAGGCCCTCATCAAGCAGTGGAAGGACAAAAAGGCTGTACATGTACACATATGGTCAATTGTACTGTCTATTTTTTATATTTCAAGGGAACACTAATTACGAATGTGGTGATATTTTATCTCTCACTTTAATAGTTTGTTTCCCATTTCCTTTAAAAATACAGTACTTAAGTGTTATTACTATCATTACAATTAGTGACATATTTATTTCTATACACTTACACATATTATTGTTCCACAGTAATTAAACTTTAATAAGCACGAATAAATGTCTTTACGTGAACACTCAAATGTGACACCACAAGTGATGCTTCATTGCTCGCGATGCCTGCCCTGGTTTGACCTGACTTGATCTGACCTGATCCATGCCCCCTGCCCCCCATCCCGACATTATAGAGTCACGAGGTGGGGGGCCCATATTTTAATGATACCCCCTTCCCATCCCTAACCCCCTCCCCAAAAACCCCAACTCAAAATGCCATGCTCGTTCAAGTCCATGCGATTTGACGAGCAGCTCCCCACGTGACGGTGGAGGAAAATGACGGGAAACGGAGCCTGTCTCCAGGCCAAGGTTTCTCAAACTCTGGTCCCAGGTCCTCCCCACAGGTTTGAGTGGGGCATCACAGCCAAGTGTGGTCGGGTGCAGTGACCAGGAAAATATTCACTCACTGAGTACACCATATGCCAGTGCAATAGCAAGGGCCGGAGGGCAGGAGTGTTGAAGCTTTGGATGCGGTAGGGGGGGCATTGCGAGCATTGCACCTTACCCCAGGCGCCAAAATGTCGAGCGACAGCTCTGCCACATCCACCACACCTCTCGTTATGGCTGTGGCTACGAGTCACTCCAGTCTACCAGCGATCTGGAAAATATTCAGTGAGACATTAAGCCCTAGAGTAGTGAGACACCTTGAGGTATCTATTATTATAGCTACCAAACTTTCTGGTTTGGCCAGGACATTCCGGGTTCAGAAAGGCTATCATGTTGTTCTTAAGAATTTGTGAAAATTGGAATGTTGTCTGGGTTTAACATTTTCTGACCTCGTTCTGGATTCATTATTTGGGCAAAGGGCAAGGCCACCTGAGTACAGGGTGGTGTTGGCAGAAAAGTGGGTGAGGTCTATGACCAGTTAGGGGGGGGGGCAATGACAGGAAGAGTGAGGAGGACCTCTGGACGGAGCTAGTGGTTGAGTGGGTGTGGCTATATAAAAATGGGCGGGGCTGGCAGAGGGCAGGGAGCCGTCGTTAGACCAAGTGTCCTATTTGAGCCTCCCAGGAATTTGGCAGCTTTGGGTAACATAATATCAGCGTAAGAACCCGGGAAGTGCTATTCATACAAGTACCTTGGTGCTACGCTCGCCTGGCATTGCTTATATCTCATGATGCTGCTTATATTCATGGTGTTGATGGCGACCATAATGCGATGATGTCATGAAACACTGTGCACACCTGGTGATTGGTAAACACGGAAACCCACACTGGTGAGGACTGAGGACGGAGCTTTGAAAAACCCTACACTCAACCAGAACTTAACTAATTCTGCTGTGTGTCCTTTACCAACGCTGGCAGCCACTCCTAAGCCAAGAGGGAAGGGGACCGCTCTCTGAGCCCTCAATCCCCAGGGTCCCACAGTCACTCCCTCTTGGGCCTCCATGGGACGCCACTCCACAGCAACGGTGGATGCTTCTCAGACAAACGTCTCAGGGATGGAGTCCGACTGCTCAGGGCTGAGATTTCCGATCCTCCTGGCATCCGGGCTGCCCTCTGAGGGCCGCCCCTCGGCCGGCAAGGCCCGCACCCAGCGAGAAGCGGCTCCACCGGGCCCTATGCCACCCGCATCCCCCACGTTGGACCCCTTCGCGGCACCCGCTTGGCTCGTGAAGAAGGTCCTGCTCGCCGGGGCGTCCCTTGGCAAGCACTTGACGGGGCCTAGCCGGGCCTGCACTGCTGGACTGTAGGGGATGCCGTCCCAGCCTCGCCCATTGAGCTCGGCGGGGTTTGGGCCCCCCAGGCTCGGCAGGTCTGGCTGTGATTGCGAGAAGAGGAAGCTGTTGTTTCGTCCACCACTGCTGCCACTGTTGCCGCTGCTGCTGCTGACTTTGCAGCTGCTGCTGTTGATACAGTGGAAGCGGCGGCCATCTTCCACTCTTCCGGGTCCTTGCCCCGGGCGACCTAGGCCCTCCCTGGTGTTCGTGCCCACGAGGTCCTGAGTGTCTGTGACTCCGGGGCCTGAGCTGCGGGTGCGAGTGAGGGGGATGGGTCCTCCACCTCCTCCGACTTCCGCTCCACCTGGGGCCACGTGTGACCTCGAGTCGTTGTCTCTGAGGGTCATGAGGTCAAGGTCGAGGTCAGGGGCCCGGGAAGGAGTGGCGACCATGTCAGGATGTGGTAACCGGTTAAGAGGGTCTGTGGGAGAAGAGAGAAGGAGGTCACAAACGGGTGCTTGGAAATGTACACACCAGGGCAGTGGGCATCTAAGGACAATTATCTGGAACTGTGATGTCCAATCACTTAAGAAATGAATTAATTTTCCATTTATCGGATCTATTCGTCACTGGAATCATATGGTGCATCACGTGTGGTTTGGGTGGGGGGTTCCTGCTTCCTGTAATCATCCAGAAATGCCTTTTGGCATCCTCTGGTCTAACACCGTTTGAGACGAGTGTATTAAAATAACCGTACCAACGGTAATCCCTATTGAAGTATGGTGGCATGTATAGGCATGCATTTAAACAATTTCGATAGATTCCCTAATTAGTCTTAGCCAGTAATAGCTAGATTTGCACAGAACTTCAACATTATCAAAATCAATTGAGTGTCCTTGTTGGCACGCGTCTTCTGCTACTGCTGACAGTTGTATTTGGGATTATTTAATATTTATTTGGTGTTCTTTTAGTATCGTGCTGATCATTGGTCCTGTTTGCCCAACATAGCATTTGCCACAAGTGCAGTTAATCCTGTACACACCTTCTGTTGATAGTTTTTTTAATACCTATTTTGTACCAGATATTAATTTGTGTATTTATGTACCGTGCCAAATCTGACTCGGACGTTTTGTTTTTCCAAACATCTGGGTAGTTTCAATGCTCGTGTTATTTTATTTGGTTTTAGCATTCAATGCCCTGTTGATTTGTGCATCATTGTAACCATTCATTTGCAGCGCTTCATTAACATGTTTAATTTCACTTCCCAGACTGTCACCATCTGACACTTTCTTAGCCCGATGAATGAGCGTCTTGATAAGACCAGAGTTCATAGGGAGGGGTACCATGGGGGATGGTGTATTCTGTGCTAATGTGTGTGGTTACCATGGGGTCCTGTGTCTGTGTGTGGTTACCGTGGGCATGGTTACCGTGGGGACGGTGGGTCCTGTGTGTATGTGGATGTTGCCACGGCGTCCACGCGTGAGTTCTCCGCTGCACTGTGCTTGCTCCTTCCGCTGCAGAAGCAAAATAATTATGGGGTCACAACGATCATCACGGCGGGGATGAATGGGTAATAGAGTTGGTGACAGTGTCATTGATGGCGGTGGTTCGGGGAACGGAAGTGTATGAACCTAGGGACCCAAGTTCGATTCCTGCTCACGGCTAACACCAGTGACGATTATCTGAACTGGAACCAGTCTTTGGCCTCCCCTAGCTCGGCTCAGCCTCAAATGAATAGCTGGTGCGGTGTGTATAAACATCGCCACTGGGGAGACAAAGGCGGCCGGGCGTGGTGCTGGCCATCCACCCTCTCGTGTGCCGTACTGATCTTCATAGGTGCTTGCTAACAGCACTTGCACCAACAGTCTGTTTAGACTATGCGGGGAATCTTTGTCTTTGTGTTTTTTGATGATGGTGGTGAGACTGATACTGACTATGCAGGCGATGATGGTGTTTAAGGTGGTGTTAATGCTTCTTTTTAAATTGGTGTCAATCCTGATGATGGTATTGATGACGATGGTGCTTGTGATGATGGTGCTGATGATGTTGAAGACAGCGCTGGAAGTGTATGCTGACGGTGTTCAGAGTGGTGGTGATGATGATGACAATGTTGATGACTGTGCTGATGTATATATGTTGAAATTCTTTTGCAGCATGCGTAGTTAACCACACAAATCGGAGGTGCGGGGGAAGGACAACAAACTGAACTATGACATCTACACAAACCGTTGCTTACGTGCGATACAAACGAAGAAGAACAAGAAGAAGAAGATGAAAGAGCAAGGTATTGTGGTTAATTTGTAGCAATCTGTGGTTCATTTGATGTTGACACTGGTAGTGAAGCTCTTCCATACCTGCCACCGCTCCGCGCGCCCCCAGCACCGGGGAAGTGTTCTCGTAGGGGGACCCCTCCCCGTCCCCATCCGCGCTGGACCCCCCCTCCAGGCTCTCGCTGGAACCGTCGCGACCCGGGACACTCGGCCAGCCTCGCTCCGCCACCCTGGCACATTGGGACACACGGGCACATGGGGACACGGGGATGACGGTGATACGGTATATCAGGAGACGCAGGTGTATGGGCACATGTGACACACAGAGATAATGGTGATATGGTATATCAGGAGACTCAGATGTATGGCCACATGGGGACAGATTACAGTGACAAGAATATAAGAGGATTTAGGGACATAGATAATGATTGGTTCGGATATTGCACCATATACTCCCGGGAAGCTCAAAGCATCTCCATGACAAACATACTTAAGGACATAAAGACATGGGCACATTGGGGGTACAGGGACACGGGGATATATACACTAATCACGGCGTGTATTTTGATTGTGCATAACGAGTGTGTAGAGAGCTGTTAGGCTGTGTGGATGAGAGTGCCATTCACACACACACGGGGGAGGGGGGGGGGGTATTGCAGCAGTTGGCACGCTGCGCTATGAACCCGGCGACCCGAGTCCAATTCCCGCTCGCAGCCAACACCGGTGATGATTATCTGAACCGGTCCTGCGGCTCCCCAAGGTCGACTCAGCCTCCAATTAGTACCTGGTGCGGTGTGTAAACATCGCACCAGATGTCACTTATGAATGTGGTGCACCACTGTGTGTGCGCACGCGCGTCTCACCCGGCCCCCGCTGCCTTCCTCCTCAGCAGGTGCTCCACCACCTCTGGGTCGGACTCCATGAGCCGCAGCAGAACCTCGTGCTGAAGCTCGGGCGGGATCTGCTCACCTCATCACCACGCACACCTCGTCATCACACACGTTGTCAACATGCACACTGCGTCGATGTTAGCAAGCACCTATGAAGGCCGAAAAGGCGCCATTGTACCCTATTTAAAGCTGGTTCGACCAAGGGGAGGCCCAAGGCCGGCTCAGATATTCGTCACTGATGTTGGTCGTGAGCGGGAATTGAACTCGGGTCGCCGGGTTCATAGCGCAGCGTGCCAACCGCTGCACTGCTGCTCCCCACTTTGCCTTTGTGACGCGCGTACATGCACAGAACAGACGCGCGTGCGTACACACCAGAAAGACTTGCTCGTGCTGCTCGATGAGCGAGCACGTGGTGGCGATGACAGCCGTGCTGTCCTCACGCACGCTCCGCTCCCCACGCAGGAGGTTCGGCCCGAACACCGTCGCCAAGTTCTGAGCCGTCATCTTATTTCCCTGGACACACGCATGCATATACGAACGGATACACAGAGGCACACATAGACATGCATGGGACAAACACGCACACATGCACGCATAGATGAATATACAGGGACAACACACGCAGGGGCACATGGGGACACATCGCCACAAGGATACGCACGTAAATGCACGTATCACATGTGCACGCGTGGAGGTGGACGCACGAGGATACACACAGGCATGCACGTGCACACAGGGGCACAGATAGACGCACATGGGAACGTGCGTGCAGACAGGCAAACACAGGCACACGCGGGTATGGGACACTACCACCAGGTTCACCTGGTTCCATAATGCCAAATGTATACATACCACTGAAATTTAAGATATGCTCAGAATTGCTTTGTTACATCTGAAAAGCAAATACCAAATTTTGGAAAAAGCTCCCTATACATCCAATGGCATCTATCCCATTTCCCTTATTTCTACAAACCACTTCCTCTAAATTAGCATTCCATGGGCTAGTGTAATCACTGCTTTGGACAATATGAATGTAAATGCTTTTGAACCTTAAACACTGACCAGGCTCGACCACCCTGCTTAGCATGGGACACGCAGCGAGGTGGGGGTACGCCGCTCACCTGCTCCCCCGTGTCGGCCTGCGTGCCCGCGTGGCGTGCCACCGTGGCGAGGAAGGAGAGCACGCGGTGCAGCGTGTCGCAGTTACACGGGGGCAGCAGGCACACGAGCAGCCTGAGGAGGGGCACCTGCTGCCCCGGGTCCAGCCCTGACAAAGAAAGACAAAGACCCCCCCCCCACCGTATAGCCTTAACAGACTGTTGGGGCAAGTGCTGTTAGCGAGCAGCTATGAAGGCCGAAACGGCACACGAGGGGGTGAGTGGCCAGCACCATGCCCATCCGCCTTTGTTTCCCTAGTGGCGATGTTTGTACACACCGCACCAGGTACTCATTTGAGGCTCAGTCGACTTAAGGGAGGCCCACAACCGGCTCAGATAATCGTCACTGGTGTTGGTCGTGACCGGGAATCGAACTCGGTTATCAGGTTCGTAGCGTAGTGCACTAAACGCGACACTACCTTTCTCCAGCCCTGACACACACTGGTTGTAATTACTGGCGAAATGTCGTACTCGAATTGTAAAAATTGTGGATTTACTTTCCAACACACCGGAGTGCTGTTCTGTTTACGTGACAAACCTTACTAATTGTATAAAGACACATTTATATTTACACGATCTAAGCCAATAAACTTCTCTTATGGATAATATTGGTCGTGAAAGCCTACGTGTTAAACTATACGGAGGAGTGTTGGTGGCACGTTTTAGCGGCTAGAATGCAGCAAGGTGTCACAGTGAGTGATACAGGTGGGGCATCCGCCTGTCATCTCAACTCGTATAACACCTGCGTCCTGTCCCGCGACCTCCAGCAGCGAGCCTTAGACATTTCACGCGATGGCCTCAAAACTACGTCTAGCCCGGCACGAGCGCCGCGGTGACGCCGTTTGGCGCTCGGCGTGCGAACGGCGTCCGTTGTTGTCGCCGCACGTGCGTTCCGGCGCGTGCGCTCGCGTGGCGAACCCGCACCGGCGGCGTGCACGAAGGCCGGGTAGAGCTCGCGCGAAAGCAGGGGCTCGGCGAGGTCGCGCAGGAACTCCTTGAGCAGCGCGGCGACGTCGTGCGCGCTCGCCTCCTCGCCGATCGACGCCGCCTCCTCACCGCCGCGGTCAAACTGATCCCGCAGCTGCACAGAGACAACAACGGGGAGCACGCGCAGACCGCCGGGGGGCATCAGCAGGCGGCGGGCGGCACAGTGGTGATGTTCGCATGAAGATTGCGTGGGTTCGACTCCCGAGTTTGTAGGTTCTCCCCCCTGTTCTGTGTGGCTTTTCTCTGGGGCCCTCTGGTTTCCTCCCACAGCTAAAGGAGACGCGCAGTGTAAACCGGTCGTCGGCCAAATTTCCCAATGTTGGAATATCACCTGCAAACGACTCAATGGGATTTACACAGCTGCAGGCTGTAGATACATTTCTTCCCCCGAGGAATAATTCAAGTTCATTTAAGCTACCAACGCACAGACTGTTGCGATCATTGCTGTATGGGAGCACCTATTAGGGTTGGTATAGCCAACACCTCCACACCAGCACCTAGCACCATCACCACCATCACCTATTTATACCTGCCATCAACATCATCATCAGCACCATCATCATCACAAGCAACATCATCAATACCATCATCACGATTGACACCACTTTAAAGACATGAACAGCAACATTAACACCACCATAAACACCATGATCACCATAATTAATGACACGTCACCAACACTATCACCCTTTCACCCCTGCCGTGATGATCATCGTGACCCCGTGATTTTTTTGCTTCTGCAGTGGAAGGAGTGAGCAGCGGAGTAGTGACGCGTGGACACAGTGGCAACATCTATATGCACACAGGACCCACCGTCCCCACGGTAACCATCCCCAAGGTAACCACACACGTGCACACAGTACCCACCGTCCCCACGGTAACCATCCCTATGGTAATCAAACACACAAGACCCACCGTCCTCTACAGTAACCATCCCCACGGAAACCGCAGCACACACACACATGGGACTTACAGTCCTCAAGGTCTCCATTCCCATGGTAACCGTAGGGTCCACCGTCCCCATAATGACCATCCCGACGGTAACCACACACACATGCACAGAACCCATCGTCCCCGGTAACCATCCCCACGGTGATAAAACACACACACACACACAAACACACACCTGTCGAACGCGTTTCTTGGAGCTGCCCACTCTGAAGATGCCGACCGTGTGCAGAGCTGTGGGGAGAAGGGGGTGCACAATTGTGATCCAACTCGCCATGACCTATCCACTGCTGCATGAAGTCCTGCCCAAGCCGTCACCATCCCTCACGGTCACGTGATGCGGCAATCCACCGAGTGCCTGCACACGAGCCGATCTCATCGCACCCATGCGTCGGCGGTGCCCTCGGGGACGTTCCCTCCGTTGGCTGCCACTGCGTCGTTATTCTCGGCCACTGGCCTTCGTGACTTACAGCCAACCGTGTCCTGCCCAGGCGTGACTGACTTGTCTTAACAGTTTGAAGCGTGTTTCTCAATTCTGACCCATCGCCCTCGTAAAACCCATATAATTAGCCATAAACAATTGACCCCAAATGTCACCCATAACCTGAGACCACAATCAACTCTCCCTTAGCCCCCCAACTCTTAACTCATGCGTTTAAGGCCGTGGAAAATGTCATTACTGGCCTTAAACACGAATCCTGACTAACCGCTCACCTTAACTTATATTCCTATTCATTAAGCCTAGACCTACCATTCACCCATAATGCATGCTCCATAACCGATTAATTGTTGACCCTTGAACCATCACCCGAACCTTTAATACCATGTCTTTTCACTTCTACAGTCAACTTTTCCCAAAATATTGACCAATGAACCATGACTGTAGGGGTTGGGGTCATGACTCCAGATATCAGGAGCACCACCTCAACAACTAACCATGTTGGTGGGGTCATGACCCCTGTTTGAATGTGGGGTCGTGACCCAAGACAGTGGCTGTGGGGTCATTGCCCTTGATTGTGAGAGTGGAGTTATGCACCCAATTGTGACCCCTTATGTCAGGAGTAAAAACTCGACTACTGACCATGTCAGGCTGAATCATCGGAAGGTCGTGATCCTCTTTATGCCCTGATCAAGGGGGATAGCCTTCGTAGCGTAGCGCGCTCACCACGACACTACCGTTCTCCAGCCCTGACACACACTGGTTGTAATTACTGGCGAAATGTCGTACTCGAATTGTAAATATTGTGGATTTACTCTCCAAACACACCGGAGTGCTGTTTGGTTTACGTGACAAATCCTTTGATTGTGGGAGCTGGGTCATAACCCATGACCGTGTAGGCAGGCAAGCTAGGGGCTCATTACCCCTGATAGAAGGGGTGTGGCTCATTATCCCCGATGGAGGAGGAGTGGGGTTCGTTACCCCCGACAGAGGAGGAATGGGGGTTCGTTACCCCCGACGGAGGAGGAATGGGGGTTCGTTACCCCCGACGGAGGAGGAATGGGGGTTCGTTACCCCCGACGGAGGAGGAATGGGGGTTCGTTACCCCCGACGGAGGAGGAGTGGGGTTCGTTACCCCCGACGGAGGAGGAGTGGGGGTTCGTTACCCCCGACGGAGGAGTGGGGGTTCGTTACCCCCGACGGAGGAGGAATGGGGGTTCGTTACCCCCGACGGAGGAGGAGTGGGGTTCGTTACCCCCGACGGAGGAGGAGTGGGGGTTCGTTACCCCCGACGGAGGAGGAGTGGGGGTTCGTTACCCCCGACGGAGGAGGAGTGGGGGTTCGTTACCCCCGACGGAGGAGGAATGGGGGTTCGTTACCCCCGACGGAGGGGGGGGTGGGGGTGGGGGGGGGGGTTCGTTACCGTGCTGCTCGAGGTGGGAGCAGCAAGCCTCGACGACGCGGGGCACGCGGGGGAACGTGGGGTTGAGGCTCAGGCGCTGCCCCTCCCCTCGGCGCCACCGCCCCCGCGTGGAGCCCCCGCCGCCCCCTGCCGCTGCATCGGCCGGCAGCGAGAGCTGCAGAGCCTCCAGCAGACGCGACGGGTTCCCCTGCAGCTCCGCCAGGCTATCCACGGACATCGCACCCTGCGGGGGGGGGGGGGGACACGCAGCGAAGGGGGGCAGAGACGGCGCCACGGAGGCGCGTGGGAGGGAGACGTGAGCGCATTGGGGAGACGTGGGGAGATACGGGCAGGCACGGGGAGAGACATGGAGAGGCAGGCACACGGAACAAAAGGAGAGACGGGGGGATGGCGACAAGGGGACATGGAGAGACTTGGGGAAGTATGGGGACATGGAGAGACGCAGTGAGGCATGGGGAGAGATGGGGAGATGAAGCTGGGGAGACACAGGGAGGGAGGCATGGGGAGTCATGGGGAAGTTGAGAGACACAGTGCATGCGTGGGTATGAGGTTGTATATTTGTGTGTATATGCATTTGTATATACGTGTGTGCGTGTATGCGTGCGTGCAAGAGAGTGTGCGAGTATGTATGTGTGCGTGTGTGTATGTGTGTGCGTGCGTGTGTGTGCGTGTGTGTGCTCGGCAGGGTCGAGTTTGGGTAGGATCTGAGTAAAATCTTCCCTTTTTTTGGGATTTGTGATGCTCGCATCTCACATCTGTTTGTGGTCAAACCAGGCACATTCCACACAGCAGCCAAACGCACACACACGCACATACGCATACATGCGCGTGCACGCGTGCACACGCACATCCCCCCATACACCCGTACAAAGACACATGCACACACACACACAGAGGTTCTAATAAATTAGTACATACTCTTATGCATTCACCCACATTCACGCACGTACACACACACATAAGCAAACACCAATCTGTACACACACATTCTCACACATGCAAAAGATTACTTTTAGTTTTATAGACCAGAGGGCCAAGTGCTGTCGGTGAGCACCTATTAAGGCCAGCACGGCATGCAAAGGGTGGTGTGGCTCGTGTCTCCATAGTGCGGATGTTCTACACACCACACCAGGAATTAATTTAAAGCTGAGTTGACCTAAAAGAGGCCCAGAACCGTTACAGATATATATACCACCAATGTTGTTCGTGACTGAGAATCGAACTGAAGATGTCAGTTTTTCAGCATAACAATGCGCGAACCAACGGCTCCACACCAAAGACAAAGGTCCCCCGTATAGCCTTGACAGACTGTAGGGGCAAGTGCTGTTAGCGAGCACCTATGAAGGCCGGAACGGTACACGAGGGGGTGGGTGGCCAGCACCACGCCCGACCGCCTTTCTCTCCCCAGTGGCAATGTTTACACACCGCACCAGGTACTGATTTCAGGCTGAGTCGACCCAGGGGAGGCCCAGGACCGGTTCAGATAACCGTAACTGGTGTTGACCGCGAGTGGGAATCAAACCCGGGTCGCCAGGTTCATAGCGCAGCGTGCTAACCACTACACTACCGCTCCCCACACCATATGCATATGCACACACGCACGTACACACACATACAAACAAAAAGACAAAGATCCCCCGTATAGCTTGTGGGAAGGGTGAGGTCTTTTACAAGCTACTAAGTGCACCGCACACACGCACACGAATACAAAGACAACGATCCTGCCGTGTAGCCTTCGGAGACCATTGGGGCACCTATGGCGCACAAGGAGGTAATGTGGGTTTGCGCCATGCCGAGCCGTCTTTGTCTCCCCATTGCTGATATATAAACATTGCACCAGGTACTGTAAACATTTTAGGGGAGGCCCAGAAATGGCTCAGATATCGCTGACCACTGATGTTCGCCACCGGAATCAAACTCAGGCAGCTGGGTCTTTTGCACCGTGATCAACACTGCGCCACGCACAACAAAGACAAATATCCCCTGTATATCCGAAACAGACTGTTGGAGAAAGTGCTGTTAGCGAACACCTATGAAGGCCAGCATGGCACACGAGGGGGTGGGTGGCCAGCACCACGCCTGGTCGCCTTTGTCTTCCCAATGGCGATGTTTACACATAGTACCAGGTACTTATTTGAGGCTGAGTCGACCTAGATGCGGCTCAGGGCCGATTCAGATAATCGTCATTGGTGTTGGCCGTGAGTGGGATTCGGCTGCCAGGTTTGTAGCACATTGCGCTAACCACAATACTACCACTCCCCACAATCACACACACACATGGACATACGCACGTGCACGCACGCACGCAACCAGAAACGTACACATACATGTACACGTGCAGACGCACGTACAAACTACATGTGAACAAACGCATGTACGCACATACACACGGGTTCAAAGGCCCCGAGAGACCAGCAACAAACAGTACTATTGGCGTTGAAATAAAAAAATAGTTAACACATTGTGGAATTGAGCAAGCTTTTAAGAACTTGTGGTCGTGGCAATTGCGCCATGCTAGGTGCACTCTGAAGTATCAACACATACACACACACACACGTATATACATACGCATGTAAAAGCACAAACAAATGAGCACGCACCAACACACGCGCGCACGCCGCTCTCCGCTCACCCTCCTCTGCTGGGGCCGTGTCCTCCCTGTTGTCGCTCTCCCCGCGTTTTCTCCGCCCTCGTCTCGCGTCGACCCTGCGGCGGACGACTCCAGCGCCGACCCCGTCATCTCCGACCCCACGCCCCGTGACCCCGTGCCCCCTGACCCCACCGACCCAGGATGGGCGAGCGGCGGGGGTGGTGGCGAGGGGTCCGGCACGCAGGACGACAGCAGCTCCCTGCGCTGCTTCAGCTCCAGGTCATTGGCGATGACCTGGAGCAGGGGCAGCCCGAAGGCACGCGCAGGGGACTCTGTAGGTGGGTTGAGGGGGGCACAGGGGAGACACGGGGAGACAGTGGAAGGGCACGGGGGCAGAAAAGGAGATGTGGGGAGAAACAGGGAGGCGGGGTTGGTATGGGGATACAGAGGGAGACACGGCAAACACGGGGAGTGAACCGGGGAGTAATCAGAATTGTGGGATCGAGAGAAACGAGAAGTGATAGGGATGCACGAGGAGATGTGGGAATGGATGCACGAGGGACATGCATTCCCATGCACACGTAGGAAGATAACGAGATACACATTCTTTTGCAAGCATACACACAATGATGCACACACAACAGTGTACCAGTAGCGGCAATAGCACTACCGCGACCAAAAAAACACCACTACAACATCACCACCACCAGTTAGTTGTCTATAAGTTGTGGTGACGTCACCTCAGTGCCAGGCCTGGTTCACTCTCACGACGCTGCTCACTGGGAGACATACACGGTTTTTTTTTGGAGAAATAGTCAAGGATCGCTGGCGGATAATCACGGGACAGACCCACGAGTGGTTGCTCATCACATCACGCAAGTCTGCCTTGTTGTTGCCCCAAACACACACACACGTGTGCAGCCCTTGATGTCAATCCACTGCTGGATGAGGGCCTTGCTGTGCTGTGTGGGTAATGGGGGGGGGGGGGGGGTGTTTGACCATGCAGGTAAGCGCAGCCTGGGGAAGGTGGGCAGCTTGGACTCGGGAGCAGGAGAGTCAACGGGGGATTTGGCTTCACTCTTCTCTGCTGCCCCCACAGCAACTGCAAATAACAGCCTGGTGCATGCACGGCATTCGCTCATCCAATCACAATCCAGGCTCACACATGCTTAGCTTTGGAGAAATAGCTTTGGAGATCAGACACGTTTCAGGTGATTTGATCATGAGCCGCACACACTAGTAGAGCCCGAACAGACTGTTTTTGCAAGTGTTGTTATCGAGGAGCATCTATGAAGGCCGGTGTGGCCCTCGAGGGGGTTAGTGGCCAGCACCATACGTTAATTTTAGGCTGAGTCGACCTAGGGGAGGCCTAGGGCCGATTCAGATAAACGTCACTGGTGCTGACAGTGAGCAGAAATTTAACTGGGGTCGCAGGGTTCGTAGCGCAGCGCACTTAACGCTGCACTACCGTTCCCCTCCACACACACACGCACACACACGCACGCACGCGCACGCGAGCGTAGAGGTGAGAGTTCACGGGAGCACTGTGGCCGTGGTTGACGTCGAGGGGTCACTCTCATTACGGCTCCACCTCGCTCGCCGTTACCTTTGTCCTTTGACTTCTCCCGAGACAAAGTCGTGTCAAGTTTCCGACGCAAGGATTTTTTCCGTTTCTGGCCATCTGCACGCGCAAACAAAGAAAAAAGATCCCCCCGTGTAGCCTTAACAGACTTTGGGGGCAAGTGCTGTTCGCGAGCACCTATGAAGGCCGGCATGGCACACGAGGGTGTAGGTGGCCAGCACACACCACACACACACAAACGTATGCATGTCTACTTTCTGGATTTTATGTATGCAGGTTGTATGTATGTGTATGTATGTTGAACTTATTTCGCACCGTACGTAGCCAACCGTGCTAATCGGAGGTGCGGTTGGAAGGACAACAAACTAAACACAAAAAGCAGTTCTCAAGAAATTAGTTAATTCGACGGATACCCAACAATCACTTCTCCTTCTAATCTCGATATCTAAATGAGCCGTAAATCACGTGACTTGAGTGTGCTCCCCCCCACCATCACCTCGTTCTTTTCTCCCCATCACCCTCTCATCCACCGCCATCTACATTGTATGCTTGACTCTACTCCCCTGAGAAACAATTGGCTCTCGACTTCACACTCCAGCTGACCACCGCTGGATCTCAGCATGCCCCCGTGTGGGTGGTTCCACTCCCCCACCCCCGAGTTAGATCCAGAGCATGGCGGGACTGAAGGGGCCAAGGGGGCATACCCCCCCCCCCCTGCCCCCAATGTTCAGCCCCATTTCTAACTTACTATAGGCAAGTCAAAACAATGTTGGGCAAACCTTTTCCTCATATACAGTCATACCTCTGTATACCATCGCTTTGGAATACGTCGAATTTGGTATAGGTCTTGTTTTGACGAGAAAAAAATGTCTTGGGATACGACGTCTTGCTTGGGATACGACGCGCTTGCTAGAACTTGTATGGGTCGGGATGAGTCACCGCGTACCCGCGTAGACCCCGTTCACGACTCCTCCCATTCCTCACCACCATCCTCGTAGGCTATCAACTCCTCTCAGCAAGGTAAAGTGATGTTACATTTAAATTTTATTTACATTTATTTTAATTTATTTATGCATTTATTTTAATTTATGTATGCATTTTAGTAATAAGTAGTGTCTAAATTATTTTATACAACCCCATTAATGTGTAATACGCCATATGAAATATAATTTCTTATACTCTGGAATGGATTATTTCCTTTCCCTTTATTTCTTATGGGGAAAATTTGTTTGGTATACGTCATTTTCGGTACAGGTCCTACCTTCTGGAACGAATTAACGACATATACCGAGGTACCACTGTAGTTTAGTTTTGTTGACCTTCCCTCCACACCTCCGATTCGCACGGTTCGCGACGTACGGTGCGAAAGAAGTTCAACATACATACACACGGGGTGAGAGTGGCAGCCGAATGCATGATGGACACAAGCAGATCATATCGTTACTCCTTCAGTTTAACGCTTAACATTTGTTTAACGTTGTTTTAAGGTTTGTTTAACTGTTTCATGCTCTCCCGCTTGAGTTTTGTGTGTGTGTGTACGCCGCCTCCCTTTAAACAAGGTCATGCTGCAGGGTTCCCCGGATTGGTTAATCTTTCGATTTAAAGCTTTCGTGACTGCAGGGATTCATCTTCTTGGTTCTTTCGGTAACGCAAGAGCCGAGGACGGCTGCTTGCGTTGTGGCCATAACGTGGTGAGAATTATTTTATTATGTTTTATTTTTATTATTCTATTATTTCCCTTCTACGTGACTTTACCGAAAGAACCAAGAAGATGGTTAATCTCTCTTGAATGGTTGATCCCCTCACGCAATCCTCCTCGTTAGTTGTGTTGCCCCCCCCCCCCCCCCGATCTGTTGGTTCCTCTGCGGTTTCCCTGAGTGGTTCGAAACCACTTAGCGACTGATCCCTCCTGAGTGATTGATCTCCGGAACTGTTGATCACCAACCCCTGTGTGATTCTCCCCGATGCATTAATGCCCTCATGCGGTGCCCTCATTGGTAGGGCGTCTCATGCAATACCTGATCCGTTATTAGAAGAAAAATAAGAATAAAGATAATTATAATTTTTATTATTATTTTTCTTCTTCTATCTACGTGACTTTACCTAAAGAAGCAAAGAAGATGAATTCCTGCAGTCACAAAAGTTTTAAGCAAAATGTCGTCCGCTGATTGGATAATCCCCTCATTAGTAGACCCCCCCCCCTCATGTGATGCTCTGAGTGATTGCGCCCCCCCCCCCACACATGCAGCCCCTTCTCTGCCCCTCCCCCTCAAACGCCCCCTCCCCCTTCCCCGCCGGCAGTTGCCACCTTTCGGGATGGCGATGTTGCAGGGCAGCTGCATGTCGGCGAGGCGAGCGAGGGCCGCCTCCTGCAAGCGGGCCCTCTCGAGCTCGGAGAGCGCGCCCAGCGCCACGGGGCCCAGGCGCACGCCCTCGCCGCCGCCCGTCACCCACGTCAGGTCGCCCTGGGGGGGGGGGGGGGGGGTGCAGAGGGGCAACGGAGTTAAGCGATGTGGGGAGGAACGCGGGGATGTGCTGCAAGGGACATGCACGCAGAGATATTGGGGATGCTCGAGGAGACCGAGAGCCGTAGGAACTGGGCACAGGGGACAATTCGCCCCATCAGCGACTCAACGAATTGTCACAATTCGGGCTCGCGCGATTCATGCAATCCATTCTCTCCTGTGGTCTCGTTTTCGCCATCTCGTTCTGTTTCATTTGCACAGTTTTGTTCGCTCAGCCTAAACATAAATATAAAGTCTTAACGATGGAATATAACTTGCACAAACCATCATTAAATATAACACGTATGTATCTATGGGGACAATAAGAACTGATTTTAAGTCGTTGAATCGACGACTGATGAGGACATTGGGCATGAAGAACAGGGAGGAACAGCGAGAACACGTAAACACGGGGGATGCTTGGATGGGATTGTTTTCGCTCACGCAAATACGCAGATTGTCGCTGCAAGCGATGTTGTTTGTGAGCACCTATTAACAAATAAAAAAACTCAACACGTTCGTCAACAACACCGCCTTGAAGGTAAAAATATGGGCAACATTTTTTGGGAAATGGCCCTTCATAGCACAAACTATGAAGGGACATTTCCCAAATAACGATGTTGCAGGGCATCTTCATCGTACACTTTGCGAATTGAGTAAGCGCCATATTCTTAGGTTTTTTCGGTTAAGTCACGTAAGTAAAACATCAAAATAAAAATAATAAAATAAAAATCACGACGTTTCGGAGGCAACACAAGTCTCCGTCATCAGGTGGGACCGTCACAGCCGAATTAGCTGCATCAAGTGAAGCAATGATTCAAGATGTAATCCCTTATAAGCAAGTTGAAGGGAGGTGGAGAGGGGGGTGGAGAGCTTATCAGACTGTGGTAGCCAATGAATGGAAACGTATCGGGGGGGAGGAGGAGCGGTGATCAAAGACTGCACGCAGTGCTCAACACAATGAATGGAAACGTATCGGGAGGGAGGAGGAGCGGCGATCAAAGACTGCACGCAGTGCTCAACACAATGAGTGGAAACGTGTCGGGACGGAGGGTGAGCGGTGATCAAAGACTGCACGCAGCGCTCAACACAATGAATGGAGACGTGTCGGGACGGAGGGTGAGCGGTGATCAAAGACAACACGCAGTGCTCAACACAATGAATGGAAACGTGTCGGGGCGGAGGGTGAGCGGTGATCAAAGACTGCACGTGGGGATGTTAACACTCGGTGAAGTAAATTAATTAAAATAGTGCCTGTCAGATAAGATGGTCCAAAAAAGTGTAATTAAGTCTTTTTTGCGTGGTTAATAACATCTTTCCAATGATTACTGAGTTTGTACCCATCATCACGGTTGAAATTATGTCTGTGTTTGTATATTTGTATGGCTTCGTGTACAAACCTTTGATGGTAGCCAGGAGGTTTGCAGAGAACCTTGGTCTCGGAAAAGACAATTTCATGAGAGCCCGCCGAGTTGTAGCAATGATCGGCAACGGCCGAAGAATCAGTTCTGCCGTGTTTCAGATCTGACTTGTGCTCGCGGACACGATCAGCCACATGACGTTTTGTTTCACCAATGTAGCAATCAGAGGTGGGACAAAGTCATTGTTATGCAAGTCCAAGTCGAGTCTGAAGTCATCAAATTCATGACTCGAGTCTGACTCGAGTCCAAGTCACATGACTCGAGTCCACACCTCAGAGGTGGGACAAAGTCATTGTTATGCAAGTCCAAGTCGAGTCTGAAGTCATCAAATTCATGACTCGAGTCTGACTCGAGTCCAAGTCACATGACTCGAGTCCACACCTCTGGTAGCAATCACCACAAATGCAACTCAATTTGTAGACTCCAGGATACTGTAAGTCAGGAACGACATCCTTCACAGATGGAATCAGATCACGGATTTTATGCACTGTACTGAATCGGACTTGGATCTTATGTTTGTTTAGAATTTTGGAGATCTTTTTGGTCACGCCTGCTATGTATGGTAACGTGATAGTTTTGGTCGGAGTTTCATGTGGCTGTTTCTTCTGTGTGGTGGGAGAAACCGCTTGGCGGATAGTACGGTCAGAGTATCCGTTCATCCTGAGGGCCCGATGTACATGTCTCAATTCACCGGTCAGGTGGTGTTGGTCAGAAATGCCATGGGCTCTGTGGTATAGCGTTTTGAGGAGAGAATTATTTTGAGATGGGTGGTGGTGGGAATCCGGTTTCAAGTAGGAATCTGTGTGGGTGGCTTTCCTGTAGACAGAATGTCCCAAGGATCCGTCAGGTCTCCTCTCAAACAGAATATCCAAAAATGGTAGTTTGCCGTCTTTCTCTACTTCCATAGTGAATCTGATGGATGGGTGTCTAGAATTGATGTGGTCTAAGAAGTGGTTCAGTGCTGGGAGGCCATGTGGCCAGATGACGAAAGTGTCATCAACATACCTCTTCCAAAAGGAAGGACGCAGGGTGGATGTCTGGATGGCGTCTGATTCAAACTTTTCCATGAACATGTTGGCTATAACTGGTGACAAGGGGGAGCCCATAGGGGTACCCTCATTCTGTTTATAGAAGGTGCCATTCCAGGTAAAATAGGTGTTGGTGAGGCAATGCCTCACCAGCGCAGGTACATCAGAATTCAATCCATGTTGGACTAAGTCCTCAATTATTGTTAGGGTGTCCGGTACTGGGACTTTGGTAAACAAAGATACTACATCAAAGCTGACGAGGATGTCATCCGGAGATAGTACCATGTCCTTAACCATAGAGACTAATTGTGTTGAGTTGAGTACTGCCGAAGAGGTCTTGCCTGTGAAGGGGAGCAGAGTATCTGATAGAAAACGGGCTAGTTTGTACGTAGGAGAGACCAAGGTTCTCTGCAAACCTCCTGGCTACCATCAAAGGTTTGTACACGAAGCCATACAAATATACAAACACAGACATAATTTCAACCGTGATGATGGGTACAAACTCAGTAATCATTGGAAAGATGTTATTAACCACGCAAAAAAGACTTAATTACACTTTTTTGGACCATCTTATCTGACAGGCACTATTTTAATTAATTTACTTCACCGAGTGTTAACATCCCCACGTGCAGTCTTTGATCACCGCTCACCCTCCGCCCCGACACGTTTCCATTCATTGTGTTGAGCACTGCGTGTTGTCTTTGATCACCGCTCACCCTCCGCCCCGACACGTTTCCATTCATTGTGTTGAGCACTGCGTGTTGTCTTTGATCACCGCTCACCCTCCGTCCCGACACGTCTCCATTCATTGTGTTGAGCGCTGCGTGCAGTCTTTGATCGCCGCTCACCTTCCGTCCCGACACGTTTCCACTCATTGTGTTGAGCACTGCGTGCAGTCTTTGATCGCCGCTCCTCCTCCCCCCCCCGATACGTTTCCATTCATTGGCTACCACAGTCTGATAAGCTTTCCAACCCCCCCTCTCCACCTCCCTTCAACTTGCTTATAAGGGATTACATCTTGAATCATTGCTTCACTTGATGCAGCTAATTCGGCTGTGACGGTCCCACCTGATGACGGAGACTTGTGTTGCCTCCGAAACGTCGTGATTTTTATTTTTATTTTATTATTTTTATTTTGATGTTTTACTTACGTGACTTTACCGAAAAAACCTAAGAATATGAATCTTTGCAGTCACGAAAGCTTCAAATCTAGAATTGAGTAAGCGCCACTGCCCAAAACTGTCCACCACTAGAACATTTGCTAAAAACGAGAGGGACACACCCATCCCCAGAGGCACATTGCTATCCGTTGCATGATTTAAAAAACGAATCGCAAGTCCAGCACCGGGCCATTCCATATGGCAGAGCGGATAATCAGCGCCGAAGCAAATACGCCAAATTGGTTGAATTATCAGATCGGTCATTTGTTTTCTGTAATTTAAAAAACTGTTTGCATTGAATATCATGAGCTTTCAAATTATTAATCGTTCATTGAAATTGGTGGAGCCTTCTACGAGAAATTTTCTGGACATGTATACGAAGTTACACGCGTACAGATTAGCCACATATTTATTATTTTTATTTTGATGTTTTACTTACGTGACTTTACCGAAAAAACCTAAGAATATGAATCTTTGCAGTCACGAAAGCTTCAAATCTAGAATTGAGTAAGCGCCACTGCCCAAAACTGTCCACCACTAGAACATTTGCTAAAAACGAGAGGGACACACCCATCCCCAGAGGCACATTGCTATCCGTTGCATGATTTAAAAAACGAATCGCAAGTCCAGCACCGGGCCATTCCATATGGCAGAGCGGATAATCAGCGCCGAAGCAAATACGCCAAATTGGTTGAATTATCAGATCGGTCATTTGTTTTCTGTAATTTAAAAAACTGTTTGCATTGAATATCATGAGCTTTCAAATTATTAATCGTTCATTGAAATTGGTGGAGCCTTCTACGAGAAATTTTCTGGACATGTATACGAAGTTACACGCGTACAGATTAGCCACATATAGATTATAATTGACAGCCCTTTCAATCCAATGCTGGATGAAGACCTCTCCATACGAACGTGCCACTTGATGTAGTGGTACGAATGCTCCTTTATAAGACTTCCCGAGCCTCAATATATTTTTTTGCAAGGTGGTCTTGCATTGAGATGTTTGGTAAATTCCATTGATAACTTACAGGAGGGAAAAAAAATCAGAGAACCCGGAGAAAACCCACGCATAGGGATGGATAACCCAAAGATCCGCAGAGGATTCAAATCCATTTGCTGTGCCGACACATTTGTCCTGGCCATCTCGCAGCCCAGCAGTGACGAGGTAACATTTACAGGCGATGATGTCCTTTTCTTGTGACAGGCAAGTAGTACCTAATGTATCGACCCTGGAAATGATTGCACAACAATGAGCGCTAAGCAAGTGGACGTCTATATATATATTTTTTAAGACCCTGATATAAATTTCTTATCGAGGATGGTTTCATTGGTGTTTACTCAGGTGGAAG